AAAAAAAAAAAAAAAAAAAAAAAAAAAAAAAATATTTAATTATAATAATAATAATAATAATAATATAATTAATTAATATAATAAAAATAAAAAATAATAAATTTATTTAATTTATAATTTTAATTTTCATAAATTTTTTTCAAGTATGATAACTTGATTGACTTGTTTTTTTTTTGTTCATTGAAATTCTAACAAATTCTAACACGGGAATATCTTTTCTATTATATAAGGAAAAATTGGCGGGAATTTAAATTAAATAACGATAAATTATAAATTTTTCCTTTTAATAAATAGATAAATAGATAAATAGATAAATAAAATGTTGGAGTTTGAGTGTGGGGTTAAAAATTTTTACGTGTAATTAATTATAAAATAAAACAAAACTGTGCCGGTTTGTTAATAAATATTTGGACCACGGTGCGAGCCGCGCCGATACCAATTTATTATTAATATACTTTTTAGCCGATCCATAAAACAAAAAAAGACACGGATTACCGAATATTGACCTTATGAAAAAAATATGGTAAGTTGTACCCGATGGCGTCAAATAAAAAAATACGTAATAATATATATATAATATAATAATAAATAATTATTATATGTGCCAATGGAAAAATGGTAAAATGATAAAATGATAAAATGGTAAAAGAAAAAAAATATTCTTTCTACAAAGAGAATAAAACGCCGAGCACTGCCCTTAAGTAACTTAAAGCGAGACGCAGGTGATGATAAAATGACATTTATGTCAAAAGCAGGTGTCCGAACTTGGAGCGCATAAAAAAAGGGTTACGGAATTTTTCCGAACGTTGCTGAAAATATGTTACATTTATTAATTTTTGTTATTGAAATAATTTATTTTGTAAAAAAAAAAAACTTTTCTCCTTTTATTAAATATCTAAATTTCCCTTCTTGGTAAATTAATTTAACTATAAGCTATTCTATATTCTGTCCGACCATTGTACTCTGAGTAATGCAAGAAATGCAGGTACTAATCTAAAATTTGATTGAAAGAAAACTTTTATGGTTTATTAACGACAACTTTTTTTTTTTTAATCTTTACATGGTTGACACAATGATAATGAACTTATTTCTGAAAATGAAAAGGTTTTCGTTAATTGTTGAAAATTGCGGCTACTCCCGAAAAAATAACAATCATTCATTTTTTACTTTAATAATGGATATCTGATTAAGAGTTTGATAATAGCTTATCATTTAAACCATTCAAAACTAACTTTCTAAAATAAGCTTAGTTTAAATATCCTATCCTGAATTAGTATTGGAAAATAATTAATTTTTTTTTTCATAAGTATCTCTTAATATGAATAAAGATAAATTTAAAACTTTAGTCCCCAATTTAATATGAACTCTTTTTCGAAACTTATAGAAAACCTTTTTCCTTCTTGGAAATATTCACACGACACAGCAAAAAAAAAAAATAATAATTTTAGCGCAAAGATGCCGTAAAGATACGAAATAAGAAAAATAAGAAGAAGAATGAAACCTCAAAGACTAGAACGAAAGTTATTGGATCAACTAGTTGCAGTTATGTTTGCGTACAAAATTAACGATTGAAGGAGAGAGAGATGTCAGAGAGAAAGAAAAGGGGTAAAAAGTATACTTGGAGGGTTCTTTAACGAGATATATTTTTTTTTTTTTTATGATTTCCCCACACTTTGATAAAAAAAACAAGTATTGAAACACAACATTTCTGTGCTTGGAAATTACTTTAACAATAAGTATATTAAATACGGATAAATATTAATTTGTCCTACTAAAAACAGAGAGAGATGAAATTGATGAGATAGAATATACTATACTGTAGTATGTTTAAAGAAAGATGAATGGTAAAGAATTCTCTTTATTATTAATTTGTATTTATTCAAGGATAGTTTATAGTAATATATTCAGGTGGTTCATGTATTGTCTCGTTTCAAAAATTTTTTTTTTTTT